TATGTCATTGACAGTTGAGTTGTGTACTTTGATTTAAGGGTTAATAGAAGACATGATGAAGGAATTCAAGGAGAAACAACTACTAAACGTGTGGACAGATCCTGAAAAACAGATATTTAAAGAAAAGTATATTCAATTTCCGAAGAACTTTCAAATGATTGCATCTTTTCTGGAAAGGAAGGTAATAATTTCAAAATTGTTGGATTGGGTACAGGGTTATAAGCAGAAATTTGAAAGTGTCTGTCTAAAAACTTTATCGAAATGAAAAGAAGCAGTTGGTACTGTAAAATCTGTATTAAAAGCTGCAGCTTCTATTGAAATGGTACAATACAACAGATGGGATGCGGCATCTATTAGAGCATCTACACATATGAGGAATGGTGATTTTGGGTCTCAATTGTTCAAAAAGAATGGGGGCGGCTTCTGTTAGGGATGCGGCTTCTAATACAGATTTTACGGTAATCTGAAACCATGGACATGTAATGTAGTCTATTAATTTTGATTATTTATGGTTATTTTGTAATTTACAAGTTTGTAGAAATTTTTTCTGTCAAATGAAATTTTGTACCCCTGTAAATTGTGGAGTGCCGGTCTAAAATGAAAATCAGCTGACTAAAAGTCTGATGGAATATAATAAATGTAATGTGGCTAACTTACATTGATGCTGCAGGTTTGCGTCTTCTACACCGATCTGACGCATAAGGCGCAAGGTGTGCCCGGAGTTTGTTCGAAATTTCGAACGTTTCGAAATCAATCGTCGATTGCCACGTATTTTACGGATATATTAAATCGTTTCAGGGACCTGTTTACTAAATAATGATAAATGAAACTTAGAAAACATGTAAGAACAAACTGGGCCCAAATTGCGCAAATTTGCAATAAGTTTACGCTGCTAGTGTCTAGTTCAGAAGGAGTTCTACGTGTGATTTCATCGCGTTCAAGAACGTTCTATTTTCGAACTCGTTGAAACCGGAAATTGCGCAAGTACTTTCGAACTTCAAACACAAACTTGATTATCGTTATTATGTGTTAGTTTCTGTTGTTTCAAAGATTGAATTAGTTATGATATTAATATTTCACTCACTAAACAATATGTCACTAAAATACGTGATTAAAAAGCAACTTAAATTGGAAAAAACATTATCAAGTTCCGTGTATAAACACTAGTGTAAAGGGGCGGTGGAGCGCTATTTTAGCCAAAATCGGCTCGTAAGGTGTCATATGACACAGGTCTGTGCTGGGACAGCGCTTCCTGTGATGACACAACGGCTAACTTATTGTCATTTATCTGAATACATGCTCTACTGAGAAAGCAAATACACTGTAACTAATTTCATATTCTTAAATTATTTTGACCAAAAATACATCTTTTTTTTTTATTATTTAATTTTAGACTGTACCCGTTAATAATATATTTTCAACACTAAACAACAATATTATTACTACTGTTCAAAATTAAGGCTCTAAATAAATAAATTTAACTCTCTGCCAGTAAATTATTGATCTTAGAATATATTGACATATGGCAGATAACACCCAGAACATGTATATATATATATATATATATATTTCACTTTTCAACTGTAGTTAGTCCTACAAATAAAAAAAACAAAACATATATAAGTCTTATGCCGACCATGGTCATTTAATATGCATGTTATAACTCACCACACAACACAAAATGACCCTGATAAAAAAATTACGTAATTGATGGTAAATTTGTAACTGATCTGTAAAATGTTATCACACCTGAAATTATTACACAGACCATAGATACGTGTTTGTTATTGAATATATGCACTACTAACAGAATATACGGTATTATTTAATAATCCTTAGAGTGTTCCTGACTGTGTACTTTTCTACTATCTGACAAAGAAAAATGAAAATTATAAACAATCTGTAAGGAAGACAGCAATAAAAAAACGAGGCTTCAGGAAAGGTCGTAATGATGATGATAAAGATGATAAATATTATGATGAACAGTAAGTAGTTATTGATTTTCTCTCTGGTATTCACCACCTGTGGTATGCTGTTTACTCAGTTGTTAGAATAGTGCTTGTCAGATAGGACACTAAGTTGTAGTGCAGTTACTGTTCTCAGTGCATGTAAAAACCTGGTATCCTACCTGAAAATAACAGAAGATTTCCACAGGATATCTAGAATCTTCTCTAACGGACACTCTGAATATGAGATCTTCTTTTTTTGGTTGTTATAGACATAAATATTAAATTTTCCACAAACAATTTTTTTTTAAATGAATTTGTGTTATTCAATGTATGCTTGTCATTGCCAGTTTTAAGTTTGTGTAAATTTTCAATAACAACCACATGTTAAACATACATAGTGTTATTTGTTTCCTTGTTTTCAAGCTTTCTGTTAATATACATATTTTGGGATGCCACAATTGCTTTTATGGAACAACTTTAGCAGGAAGAAATCTCTATTGCTTTGTGTGCACTTTAGATTTGTAATTTGTTTTCAATTAAAATTCTAAATGTCTATTGCTTCTCTGGGAAATGAAATGAAATTATTTTTTGTTTGTTTCAGTGACAAAGATAAACATGACATGGATGATGAAGAGCATGGAAATCCGAGTCATGAAGTAGATGTTGGTATGCCAGTAGACGGTGAGTTTACTGCTGCAATTATGTGATATTCATGTAGGTTAAACGCTAGTGTTATCAGCTGTGTTCGTGGTGATTATGTAAGGTCTGAACACTAGTGTTATCAGCTGTGTTTGTGGTGATTATGTAAGGTAACACTAGTGTTATCAGTGTGTTTGTGGTGATTATGTAAGGCTGAACACTAGTGTTATTAGCTGTGTTTGTGGAATTATGTAAGGCTGAACACTAGTGTTATTAGCTGTGTTTGTGGTGATTATGTAAGGTTGAAACACTAGTGTTATCAGCTGTGTTTGTGGTGATTATGTAAGTTAAACACTAGTGTTATCAGTTGTGTTTGTGGTGATTATGTAAGGCTGAACACTAGTGTTATCAGCTGTGTTTGTGGTGATTATGTAAGGCTGAACACTAGTGTTATCAGCTGTGTTTGTGGTCATTATGTAAGGCTGAACACTAGTGTTATCAGCTGTGTTTGTGGTGATTATGTAAGGCTGAACACTAGTGTTATCAGCTGTGTTTGTGGTGATTATGTAAGGCTGAATACTAGTGTTATCAGCTGTGTTTGTGGTGATTATGTAAGGCTGAACACTAGTGTTATCAGCTGTGTGTGTGGTGATTATGTAAGGCTGAACACTAGTGTTATCAGCTGTGTTTGTGGTGATTATGTAAGGCTGAACACTAGTGTTATCAGCTGTGTTTGTGGTGATTATGTAAGGCTGAACACTAGTGTTATCAGCTGTGTGTGTGGTGATTATGTAAGGCTGAACACTAGTGTTATCAGCTGTGTTTGTGGTGATTATGTAAGGTTAAACACTAGTGTTATCAGCTGTGTTTGTGGTAATTATGTGAGTGTTCAACATTAGGTTTGGTATTTCCTATCACTTATCTCTGTAGTACCATCAGTGTTCAAAAGCCTTCATTTATTTTCAAAATGTTTACTTTTTTTCTAGGTACTGCATGTTCGCTTTGTAAGAATCCACTAGATGCATATACACTGAGCAGACCAGTCAATAAAAGTAACTGTGATATGTTTGGTGTTAGAGAGAATGAAGTTACTCCAAATATGAGAGTATGCAGTAGTTGTAGATGCCGCTCATTCCGACGTAGATACGATCAGAAGTAAGTATGACCACAATTCGGTCTGTTTTCAGACAATCAAGTAGTGGGAATTGTTTATTTTGGTTCTCTTTATGCGTGACTATCCTCTCGTATAAAGTGTGGTT